GGAAAGATGTCAGAATAAGTAACGAAAGGAGAAGTAAAAATAGGTTAGGTATCGACGCAAAAACCTAATCGGCCTCAGGGTGTCCACATAATTTTGACACAAAGAAAAAACTTTCCATGAAAAATAGTTCGCTAAGTTAGAACGAAATCTTTTGCCGAAAATATCATTGTAGGTTATCGACCACTAGGAGTTGAATGGTGAAGGTTTCATAACACAAAAAGCCTTTAGCTGACTCCTGAGAATCGATTCTAGGGTGTCCACATACTTTTGGTACGCACTGTAGTACTCAAAACCAGACTTTAGATAAAGCATTTCATTTCAATATTCTTTCATTTGCGTTGTTATCATCAGCCCGAAATACCACTAAACCGCTATGCTCCCCAGAGTTCCTAAAAATGTATGGTGGAGTTCAAAAAAACGATAACGAGTGCTGGATGTTTATATTTTAACATCACACACAATCCGACCGCTAAATTACACTGACATTCGATGCATGGTGGTTGTTTACAGACACCACTTTAGCTCCGCACTCCACTGCGCGTATCAAACGGTGAGCTTCTGCAAAGATGGGCAGCCTATGGAACGGTCAGCTAACGCATTTTACGAAGCAACTCAATGTTTAGCGGCGGTAACGCTTTATCGGCTGTCCTGTCTCATCCGGACCTTCCGTTTCATGCGCGCGGTAGCGTGCGGCGCTAAACTGGTCAAAAATAATCGATAGAACTAGAAAATCTACCAGCGAAAATGGAGAAGGATAATCTCAGATCAACCTCACACCTCTATCTCGCGTTATCAACTAGTTGACTAATACAGCTCTGTTTGCCTTCGTTGATACTGATCAGAACTGGAAATCTCACACACCCTTCCGGTTCATTTCACACACTCCCAGCCAGATTGTAGCTGACTGCATGCTTTTGGCGCTACTATGTTTCTTACTACATTTTTCCGCTGCTTCACTAGTTGTACACTGCAAGCTCAAGAAGACTTCTCAAAAGGTTTGAATTCTATAAGCTATACCTGTTTTTCTACCTTTTCAGCTGATCCGTTGGTTTGTTTCTGTGAATTTTTCGGGACAAGGAGCTCATGTTCTCAGGGGGGGGGGGACATTCGAAACAGGGTTTTGGAAAACCGCAGGTAGGTGACATTAGGACTAAGCCAGGAGAGAGGAGAAACGCCAGGGAGAACAAGGTTGCTCACGTCCATTTGTAGAATCCCTTGTCTTCCCGAGGCTCAGTTCGAAGTCCTGTAAATGGCTCACTCCAGTGTCCCCCCTAACGACATGAGCACCCGGAAGAGTACGATCGAATACTGCGGGATCGGCTTTCTAATCAGAACTTTTCCTTTTTTCGATCTCTTTAAACGCATCTGCACCCGCCTCTCGCGTTAGGGTGATATTGCAAGCCTGCACTTTTCACGTGTACATTTGACACACACCGTTTGGTCCTGTTGAAGCAGAGGAGAGAATCACCAAAGCCGCGTTCACAGTTCACGCCTCCGGGGATTAGGATGGTACGCGACAATGAAAAAGACATGAAGACAGGAGGTCAAGAAAGTAGGAGATCAGGATAGTGCGCTGATAAGGCTATATACATATTGGTCGATCCGCTGCAGCTTACGATAGTGTTTAGACTTCACTATGCAGGCGATTGGTCTAGAAAAAAGGACATGTATCGATTAGACGAACACTCGAACAGGCAATTAAGCATTGCTCAGCGGGCGGTGCGAGCAGCTGGTCAGAACGTATCTTCTTCCTACTAGCCTAATCGCCTAATCGCGTGCGCGATCTCGAACTGTGAACGTTTCACAGGCCTTTAGTATACGCTCATGCTATTGTAGGTCTGCTCCTTGCTTTCGTAGGTGTTAGAAAGTCAGAGCTTGCGATCCTAGCTGATATAAAAAACAGTTCTATTGTAAAAATGGAAAAATGAACTGGGGCCGTCTGCAACAAGCCCCGAAGTCGTATGCAACAGGAACCGAGTATAGAGAATTCCCTAATGATCTAAAATTCTCTTAGCTACAGTAGGAATGTTATGTGAAAGAACTATGTTTTGTCTTGAGAAGCGAGCGAGGCTCGCTATCAGGCTGTAGATGTGCGAATTCCTAACCTTCCAGCGTCTGTTGACAGTATGTAAGCTCCGCAGATAACACTCGGCATGTTTTTCCACTCGCCCTTTTCCACGTTGTAGCTCGCTGCTCCTCTCTCTCTTACTGAGTTAACTATACTATTGAATCAGTGAATAAACGTTCAAGAGATTCCTTCCCGCGTGGCAATAAGGAGTACAGTGGTGCATCGGGCCGACCAAGGACGACCCCGGACTTCACTCTCAGGACTGCAAGAAAGGATGAGGCCGCAAGGAAAGGAATCGGAGAAAGCCAACGAAGGTTTTCTGGGAATCGAAGAAGCAAGACTTGAAGATGACTTCAGCTCTCTCCACGAGAAAAGGATTCTTAATAAGAACCGTGAACCGTTTGACTTCAATGCTGGACAATGGTCAATACGCCGAGGGGAATCTGCCAGTGGACCCAGAACAAAGGAAGGCATGCTTGAGGAGCGAAGAAGTAAACTACTAAGCGAAGCAAGTTCATAGAAACGAAAACTAAGAACGTAGAAAACGCACTCAAGGCTTATAACATCGGAATGACAGACTCCGAGAGATTCCGCAATTGAGGTGCAAAAAGTGAAACGCAATGCATCAAGAGAAGAACTTCTTGAACAGGCTTTGCTCCCTTTGATCTTCAAAATAGCTTCTTCAGATACCCTAATGAACAAACGGGAGAATTTGTCAGCCTTCTACTGGTAGAACGTCATCTAGCCGCTCAGCATACACGATTTTGAATTATGTTATTGTTTATTACCTCCTAACTTACTGGGAAAGCTCGTAGTGGAAGCTCTTGGATTATCTTGAATAGCTCGATTTCACCTACTACAAAACATAGGATGACGATTTGATATCGAATGAATCTATATGCAATGAGGGGAGGAGCCTTAAGGTTCCTGATCTAAAAAAGTTTCGAGATCAATTGGACGGCTACCAACGCAAATAGAAATTCTTGAGATGACAACGAAACAGCGGCTTTTTGATCACACTCAAACTCATATGAAAGAGACTGGAAGAACAGAGAACACAGAGTAAAAAGATGGAGATCAAGAGGGGGCTACATAAAGAACTCTTGTCAATTGTGAACCAACTGCAGTTGAAGGGGTAACTTGTCGAGCCCTGCTTCAGCAACGAGTCTTTTCGAAATTTACCAAGGCAATCCAACGGCATACCTCCGCAAGAAACAGAAAATAAAAACGCAGAAGAAACAGGGAATACAAAGTTGCTCCTTGAGAATGTCGATAGTTACATTCGAACGGAATTGGACTTTCGTCGACATAATGAAATACGACGAATCGATACTGACAGAAGATGCTCGTTTATCAGTAAGCTTTCATCTCCGGCGAGTAGCGCCTCAACCGTGAAAGAGAATTGGACCGCCTCCACTTGCTTCCTGGCGGAAAGAGTTATACGAGAGGAAATGCCCAGAGTCCCAAATTCGCGAACAGAGAATTGAACAGATGAGGAAGTTGTCACTGTGCAAAAACTGCGATAGTGCAGATCAATATGATTCTAGTCGCACAAGATTACCGCACCGAATTTTTGGCCTCATAGGGCACCATACTTCAATCGGCAGCAAGTTTCATGGTCCAACCTCAGGAAAGCACCGAAAAAAATGAGCCCCGTAGAGGCGGAACGCACACCTCTACATCAGATCGTTGTGAGCAGATGTTTCTTCATCACCAATGGAGCAAAGTACACCGAACGTTGTAATCGCATTGTGTGTGAGGAACACTGCATCTGGCGAAGATGTAAAATGTGTTGTGCTTGCAGGGGAAGCTCTCGTCCTCAAACCACGGAAAACACCTTGGAGAAGGTTTACATTCTGTTGGATACGGGAGCTGACCGTTCTTTCATAAGCGAAAACCTGGCTGTCAGGTTAGATCTCAAGAATGTCACCTCCTTGACTCTAAAAATCAAGCACGTTTCGGTACCCAATGTACAATGAAAAAAACGTGCGGAGTCACGAACCTTGAAGTCTAAGATTGTATGGGTAAGCACACGTGTTTTCGGTCGCTCGGATTGAGCACCTCACAGAACCCCTTCAGAGGCACAAACTCAGCGACGCCGATAAGCATTACCTAGCTGAAAATGACATGACATCGAACTGTCAATAAAGCCTCATGTTCAGGATGTTCAGGCACAGATTCTGCTTGATGCAGTGATACCTTTGCGCTGATGAACTCTTGCAGACAGGCACAGCATACCTTGCCTTCTGGACTGAAGGTGATCCCGTCACTTCTGGGATATCTGATTACCGGGCAAATTCCGAGAAATACGGATGAAGGAATGAGCTCCATCGATTACCGTTGTTACGTCAAACGACGAAAAGTATCAGAACTGGGAAAAGTTCTTCAACCCTTGAATTAACAGTAATCGAGGAATTCCCCTGCACCGAGACCAAGAACAGGGCAGTCTGGGAAGACTTTGAGGCCACTATCCTTCGTAACGAATATGGGTATTGCGTGAGATTGCCATGTGAGGAAGAGGCCAAGACCCTACCCGATAACAAGAGCATAGCCTACCGACGACTTTGGACAAACTTCAGACCACCCCTGACATCCTGAAGCAATACAATCGAACCTTCGTGGATCAGATTAAAAAAGGATTTTCTCAGATTGAAACAGGGATTTTCGAAGAAGTAGATCCAAGTCAACCGGGAGAAGACGGAATTATCTACTACCTCAGCCACCCAGCAGTGACACCCAATAAGGAATTCACCAAGCTGCGGGTTGGATTCGATGCATCAGCTCATTTCGAGGGGCCAGCCATCCCTAAATGACGTCTTCTACCAGGAACCCACCTTTCTCCCATGATATGCGATATGGTGCTCCTGATTCCGAATCGGTAAAATCGCTAGTATAGCCGAGGGCAGACTTGGAGAAGCTTTCTTCCAAGTTTGCCTCTACCCAGCAGACCGAGACGCAACACGTTATCTCTGGGTTGGAGACATCACGAAGCCCTCTCTGAGAGACAATTTAGTTTAGTACCGATTCACGCGCGTCAATTTCGGCCTCAATTGTTACCCCTTCCTACTAGCAGGAACAATTAAACATCACATGAACACGACCACGGAACAAAAGGAGCTAGCGGAAGAAATCGAGTCTAATGTATATGCTGACAAGGCAGTTTTTTACGCTTTCGAGAAGGAAGAGGCTTTCTGCAAGTGAGAAGCAAAGGCTATTTTCCATGATATGGAATGAACCTTCACAGTTTCCAGACGAACAATAACATGGTCAACGAAGCTATCCCGCAGCAGGAGAGAAGTTCGCAAAGTGTGACGGAGGTCTTTATTGTGTGGGATTCAGAGACCGACACTATTCGAATTCACGGAAGATTTTCAAAAAGGTCGCTCGCAACGAAAAGGATAGTTTCTGAGCGAATAGCATCCTTGCACGATCCACTAGGATGGCTCATACCTCTAACGCTCACAAGCTGTTCCTTTAATCTCTCTGAAAATCGGGATATGAGTTAGACACAGAACTTTCCACAAAGCATGAGCTGGAATGGGCATAAGTTAACGAAAATGTGATGAAATTTGAGTATGTCATCACTCGGAAGGCAATCGCTCTTGGCTCTACGGCAGAACTTGTCCTTTTTGCGGGCGCAAGCCGCCAGGCAATGGCCGCAGCGCATATATTAGGTTGGTAACTTTGAAATGTCGTTTTTGATCAAAGATTATCTTAAGTATAAAAGCTATACCAAAGCTTATCAACCTAATTTATTTCGTTTATGTGTATCATCCACTCTCCACCTTTTCCTATGCAAGGCAAGGAGGTCTACCTCGTAGAACTCTTCCAGGTACGACTCGAAGAAGTTAGGTACTCAAATTATGAGGTCGTCGTCGGTTATCAAATTGGTTTGCTGCTAAGGAGTATTGCGCTGACCTGAGTCAGTGATAGTTGGACGGTGCCAGGTCTGAGCTATATGGCGCGAGAGGGAGAGCGTCCCAGCCCAACTCCTCGATTTCTTGTTGCAAAATTTTCGCGACATGTGATCTTGCATTATCGTGCCAAAATGTTTCAATGACCGAATTTGCCCTTTGACTACGTAGAGCCCGACCCTCGCCTGCGGGATGTTGTGCGCAGAGTTTAGCTGTAACTATATGACGCACAATCAGCTCTCCATAGTAAGCCATTCTTATACTGCTTCACCATACTGCAGCAAGACTTTTTCTCTGTGGCTGTCCGGTTTCGGAGAGGCCCTCAGCTGCCCATCTGTTGCCAACCACGGCCATCTTCTCACTTTGTTATCGGGGAACATCCTTCTGTAAAACACGCCTTCAACGAAGTCAGGAACCTTCTTCTTCTTGGAGTTATGCAGCAGAGTTCAAGTATTGGCAACCAATACTGCTTGCTCGTGTCGCTCAGAATAGGCCGAACCCATTTTCTTCCTGGAAGGCCCTAACAGTCGCACGTAGGAACTTTCAAATTTTTTTGTTGACACAACTGAATCTCCATGCAAGTTTTGTGCGGTATGTCGAGGACTCAATTCGTTGGCCTTCTTTATTTCTCCTTCATCTGGAGCTAGAGGTCAGAATCCACGACCATCGTCATCAGCTCCTTTACCTCAGTCTTAGAAGAGCTGAAACCATGGCTGAAAGTGCACCAGAAACTGAGTGTTGCTGCTCAATGTTTTGCACGTAATGAGTGGGATTCGTTGGCTGTTTTTCTTTGCTTGAGTATACACGCTCAGGCGATGTTTTCTGATCAATCATGTTCGAGCAAAAGTTTTGGCTCAAAGAACATCCGCTCGCTGACGGCTAAGGTTTCGCAATATGCGCACTGAATTGCTCTATCGAATGGATGCTCTCCATATTACGAGGTTGAGTTTCAGCTGAGAAACAAAGCCACTAAAGGAAGCGACATTTCAAAGTTACCAACCTAATAAATATGATTGTACACATACATTACATATATTGTACACGTATTGTATCCGAATACAGGTAACACAGATCACACCTGCTCTTCGCGATGTCAAGATTGCCAACGCACGGCAGAGCACAACAGTACCTAAATTGGAAAGGAGCGCGCTGTGATTATGGCCGCACGTGTGGCACACTCAGTTCACAAGGCAGTGGGAACCACGATCGACATATCAAAAATGTTGATCTTAAGCGACTCGGAAATAGCTCTCAGCTGGCTTGCGAAGTATCCAATTCACAAAGTGCCGGATTCTAGTCAGAAACCGCGTACGGGAAATCCAACAAATCGTAGCAGATCTCGATAAGCCGGTCCGATTCGGCTCATGTGAGTACATCCATTAGCCCGGCGGCTTATGCTAGGAGAGGCTTGCTAGCGGAAAAATTCGAAGACTCCCTGTTGTGGGAAGGACCATCATTCTCTGTCAACCCAGGAGAGCGGCGGGCCAAAAAACCACCAATTTATCGGCAGTCATTCCACAAGGATTTCCAGACGAGAATCCGAACTTGCGACTCTAACAAGCACTATTTTTTGAGTCTCTACGCCAACGAAACAGTGCGACAAAACTCGTAGTTGCGGGCGACAGCACAACTCCCTTTTCACTGCACAGGGCGCAGTAGCCTTCGCACTACGCCTTCTTAGGCGTCTGTGCTCAGGGCTCTCCCCACAACTGTCTACCCGTCCGTGTTCGAATATTCCAGGGCTGGACAATAAACGCGAGACACGATTATACTAGCGCAGAAGAAAGAAAGGCTGCTCTCTTAATAATGGTGAGAAACCATCAGAATCGCCATATCACAGAGCAACTGCTGAAATCGGTCAAAAATCTCAACTTACAACCAGATGAGCACGGTCTATTCCACTGTTGTGGAAGGATGGACACGCCCAGATTGCAGATCTCACTAGAATACCGCTGCTCATTGCAGCCAGAACCTGCCCTCGCGGCAAGAGAATCACACCTTCCTTCCATCTAGGAACGTCCCACACGATAGCCACGGTACGAGAAAAGTATTGGATTCCAAGCTCCGACAAGAAGTGCCAAGCAGCTCCTCGAAAATGTGTTGCATGCAAAAAGCTTAATAACCTAAAATTTCTCCTACCCGACGATGGCAAATCAGCGAAAAATCGCGCAAATCTGCGAATCGCGAAAGAGCTGAATCGGGACTCTGACACCGAGCCTTACGGACGCAAAGACAAACAATCAAGGCTTTAATCAGCACATTCAAGATGACCGAAAAGTTCTGGGAAACAAAGAATACCTGAGCAGTCTCCGAGAGGCACATAAATATTTTATGGACAGCAAACACTCAGGAACAGCGGTGCCTAAGGTAGACACGGTTGTGCTGTTAGCCGATGAGGAGCAACCACGAAACGTCTGGAGAATGGGACGTATCTCCAACCTGAAAACACTCAGCGACGGAGCGATACGCGAGGCCGAAGTTAAGCTCCCAAATGGGCACGTGTTAAGACGACAGGTCAACCGCCTGGTGCCATTAAAAATTCAGGAGGGGTTACAAGAGCCTCCTGCTCCAACAAAATCGAAGTACGACACTACACCGACCGCGGTGTGATACAGAAATACTACACCCTACGAAATAGATCTTGAACAGACTACTGCGAATGGCGGCAAGGATAGTACACGATTACCCTCATGAGCATCCCAAATGTAATGCTCATTACCTTGTTTGTGCTACTTTGCTTCCTTTCTGCCATATACGACTCCTCTCGAGGAGCTAACTAAAGACCCGCTTCATTGTGTCAAATGAGGGCTGCAAATTGTTAGCGAAAGCACATCACAGTACGAGGTATGCACAGAAGCGTAAATAG